GGCTTCCATTCATAAAGTTTTATCCGCCCGGTCATGCGGCAGCAAACTCCATGATGCACTCACTGACCACAAAGCGTTTTGAAGGATACTCATGCTTCATTTCACCTTAACGCGTTGTTGACGATTTATGAATATGATAACACGTCGTTGGCACCATAGGTACGAGTATTGCCCCCGTTCGAGTTTTCCATTGAGGCGCACTAAACTGAAATACTATTCGGTTAACATGCCCCAAAATGAATGTTAATTGTGTATGAAATGTATATTTAATTAAAAGTTCTTACAGCTGATTCTTAGAATCAAAAATTGTTTTGTGGAAAGAGAAACGATAGGGGAGGATGAAATCTATCGATATATCCGTTGGTTATGTCAATCTCTCGTGACTACCTAGTAAATCCCATGATGTGTTAAATGCCTAAAATGACGCTGTTTACTGAACCTCTAAAATTATTTTTGTCGCAACTGTTGTTCCCCATTGCTCAACTGTTGGTCTGGGTCTTTGGTTTAAACATGTGGAAGATGCCATGTTTTTACACTTAAAATTAGATAGGTGAAGGATTTAGAACGGAAGATCGGTCCTCAAATCACGCAGATAAGCGAGCAATGCTATTCACAGCATGCTAGTTTCCTGAGTACAGGGGAAAGTTTGATTGAGCACCAAAGCAGACAATTCGGTGGAGCATGAAAAAAGCTAGCGCCAGAAACATGGCTTACCTGAGACATGTGCGATGCAGCGAAACATCAGTTCAGAGTATCTTGTGAACCAAGAATTCCCTGAGCGAGTATTGGTCAATCTTCTTTTTGCGTATGGCAGCAGTGGTTATGAATCGGCATCTAATTTGGACAGCCAAGCGATGGAATTGTTTTCCAATGTACGTAATGCTCCGATTCCTTTCTTGATTTTTTTGATTCACAGTGGTTGACCATGTGCTGGACTTTTTGATCAATTTTTCCACGTTTGCACGTTTGAGTTTCTTAATAGTGCCATTTGTGAAGGTGGTGTCCCACCATGGCGTGGGGTCGAGCGGATTCTGTTCAACGTTGTCCACTGTTCACGAGCAAAATGGAATTTGTGTAGAATTCTTGTAGGATGGTCGATTAGGTGTTTGTTTGGCACGTTCAAATTATGTCAAACTTTCCCCCACTCAACGTTAGTATCGAAAGACAAGGTCGTTAATTCGTACGGGGTCTGTCAGAACGATTTTCTCGATATGAGTCTTGTCTTCGGGTAGAGTCTGAGGTTTTGTTAAAGACGCAAGCTTCGTGCTTCCTGGTTTTCGTCGTCTTTCAGACTGTCGGTACGTCCCCGGTGCGATGGATTTCTGTGAAAACTGTAATAAGTCATTCTCGACCGCTATGACCCAGATATTTTCGGAAATACGGGAAAATCTGGTCAAAAACAGCCGCTTTTCTATATTTGGTTTCAGCGAGACCGGCATCAATTTCGCACGTTTTTTACGAGCAGAGATCTTCGAGGCATCTAGAAGTATGGCAGTGGTGCCCTTCAGCTTTCGAACAGTCCTTTGCTTAATTTTCCTTTCTGCATAATATCTCGCGTTCTGTAAAAGTTTGGCGGCAATAGTGTTGACGGTAACTTTAAGAGACTAGTATTCTTGTAAATTCTCCGTTCCGAAAGTGCGTAAGGTTCGATGTGCGTAAAAATGAGGTTTTCAACGGTTAACCCCACCTCCCCCCCCCCATCGCTGTCGTCGTCCGGTATCCAGGGTCTGCTAAGACTTGGCTTTTGCACTCAGGTCGACAGTTTTTTCTATTCATTCAGCAGCCAGATTTCAGGCAGCAAGCATGGCGTGTACGTCTTCCAATAGCCACTTGCAATATGGTTTACGGCTGCTGCATTTGGTGACTTTGCAGAGGAGATCCAAGTCTTCAGGTGTGGAAGAGATGGAGATCATTTTCTTTTGACTTTGGAGGTAAATGGCGATTAATCGGCTTTGCGAAAGTTCCACCGCATAATCGGTTTCGTCATTATTAACTTCGATGCCAATTTAAACTAACAACAGTCGTGCTGGCTTTTTGGGAAGTCGTTCAGAATCATGAGGGCCGAAAAGCAAATGGAGGCTCTCAGTAGACGCTCATTCTGCCAGCTTCCCTCCTGCGTTGTTATTCTCACATAAGTCCCGCTGAGCATGGTGGCTGTTGAAGTCTCTGACATGAACTGCTGGGGGGTTTGTTGGCGGCATAGCTGGTGTTGGCCAGTTCTGCTTTGGTGGCTTGTATATGTTCATGATGGTGATTTTGCCCCCTTTTACAACTACTGTGCTGACACCGTTAGTGTTTCCTTCATTTAGCAGGTCTCGCCAGATGAGGGTAGCGATGAGCTTGTAGCCCTTCATCGTGTAACATGATGCCTTAACTTCGTCGTCGTGTCCATTTCTTGTAACACAACGACATGGTCTTTGAGTGTTCGAGACTAGTAATCGCATTTCGCGCGGTATGTGTCTTTAACATTGAGTTGGCATATGCGAAGTTTGGAGCCGATAGTTCGCCTTCAGTGACCCTGAGGAGAGCCGTTGGGTT